TAGCTCAGCCCCATCAAAAATTTGTGACGCAATGCGGTTACTCAGACTTCGCACGCATATGCCATCACAAACTACACAATCACGTTCAATGGGGCCTTTCCACAAACACCTTGTGGGAATTAGACCTTCACAACTCCTTTTATCTTGTTAGAACAATAATCTACCACATAATTCACTTAACAACACCACAACATCACTTACCACCCCACGCTTATCACTTACCAACGCCACCCCCACACTAATCACTTACCAACACCATAAGATCTTTCACTAAAGTCTCTACACTAAACCAAAGAACAACTACTACAACAATGGCGTACAAATATACAAAAATCTGAAAAATAAGAAAAAGAGAAAAAAGAAGAAAAGAACCTAAGGACCATACCTGTAGTGGGAGATGATTGTGAGTAGAGAAATTAGTTGGAGAGGAAGATGGGTAAGATTAGGGATGGGGAACTCGTGAGATGGGAGAGGGAATTTGGGGGGAATGTAGATGAAGGGTTTTGTGTGTGTTTGGGGAAGTTATGTGCAGTAGGGCAGTAATAAGAAAGGGGGCGGGGGGGGAGGGGGGGGAGGGGGGAATTGGATTAAAACCTATACAAAAGAAAAGAAGAAAAACTTAACTAATAAAAAAAATGACGGGCGGCAATTTGACGGAACTAGCGCGCCCAGATGCGCGACCGCGCTAGTTTTAGCGCGGCCAAGGCAGAACCTGGAAAATTTAGCGTGCCCAAATGCGCGGTCGTGCTAGTAGCGCGCCCAGATGCACGGCCGCGCTAGTTTTAGCGCATCCAAAAACAGAAGTGGAACAATTTAGCGCGCCCAGATGCACGTCCAGTAGCGCGGGCGCGCACCTGGGGATTTTTTTTCTACAACTTTTCACCTGTTCTCACCTCGTTCGATGGCCTTAGCACTTGCCCATTATCACCTGCATTGGTTAGCACTTCCTAAAACACAAAATCAACAACTAATACTATCGTTGGGTTGCCTCCCAACCAGCGCCTTAGTTAACGTCGCGGCATGACGGTTACAACAATTCAATGGGTTGCCTCCCATCTAGCGCCTGATTTAACATCGCGGCACGACTCAACACGTTCTCAAGCATCCGTCAAGTCCACCGAGGTCTTGTGACATGCATAGTCACCACCCCAGTAATGTTTTATCCTTTGACCATTCAGTAAGAAAGTACCAGTTGAACTCATATCCCTCAACTCCACGGCTCCATGAGGCTTCACACTTACCACAACAAAAGGGCCTGACCAACGAGATTTGAGCTTTCCGGGAAAAAGCTTCAACCTTGAATTGAACAAAAGAACTTCTTGCCCTGACTTGAACTCTCGATGGTGGATGTGCTTGTCGTGCCACGTTTTTGTCTTCTCTTTATACAATTTTGCATTTTCATATGCATGCAACCGAAATTCATCAAGCTTGTTGAGTTGCAGCAACCTCTTCTCACCGGCTAAGTCCCCATCCATATTCAGCTTTTTAATGGCCCAATAGGCCTTGTGTTCAAGCTCGACGGGCAAGTGAATGCCTTCCCATACACTAATTTATACGGAGAAGCACCTATGGGAGTCTTGTATGCAGTTCGATATGCCCACAATGCATCGTCTAACTTCCCGGCCCAATCTTTTTTATTTGCACTCACTGTTTTCTCAAGAATCTGCTTTACCTCTCTGTTCGATACTTCCACTTGACCACTTGTTTGTGGGTGGTAGGCGGTGGACACCTTGTGCTACCCTCAAGCTGGATGAACTAATTGGAAACCTTACTGCCTATAAACTGAGAAGTCAAACCATGAAAATGGATGCACCCAAGAAGGAAAGAAGTCTGGCTCTTAGAATTGCTGAGGTTCAGATCTGGAGGATGAGGAAATGGCTATGATCACAAGAGATTTCAAAAAGTACCTGATGAGAGGAAAGGGTTCTTCAAGAGGTACAACCTTCAACAAACCAAGGGCTCCTGAGAAACAGACCAATGAGGGTTGCTACAAATGTGGTAAGACTGATCACATGACCAAGAATTGTCCTCAATGGGAAATTGAGTGGAAGAAGGAAAGGGCTGAACGAAGGAATAGGAAGAAGGAACAGGTTCAACTAAAAAGGAACAAAGGATTAACAAACGCTATGGTTCCTGCCTGGGGAGAAACATCAGATGAGGACTCAGAAGATGAAGCTGGAGATGAATAAGCACTTATGGCCATCGGAGAATCAGATGATGAACAAGAGGTAAGTATTCTTCATCTCAAAGACAAGATTAAATTCCTGTCTAAAGAAAGGTTGTCTGAGCTACTGCTAGACTTCATTGATGAGTCTGAGATAATTAACAATGAGAAGGAAGAACTGTCTAGGGAATGCGTGATCCTAAAAGCCAAGTGCAAAAATCTAGAGTCTAGGGCTAATGAGAGTGGAAGTAAAAATGCTGAGTTGAAGAACCAGGTTCTTGAACTTGACACTAGTGTCCTAGAACTTAGGTTTGAGAACTTAAAACTGAAATTAGGAACAGGAAAGAAGAAAGCTGATCACACACATCTCACCCTAGAAGAAAACTTAGGAAAAATGAAGGATGAGCTGTACATGAAGGATGAGCAGATAAGAGTATTAAAAGAAGATCTAGGGAAAGTAAAACATGAACTAGACAGAACTTGCAAATGGAACAAGGCTTCTGATGCACTCTCTTGCCTACAAGAAATCACAGTAGCAACAAAAGAGGACTTGGCTATGGGACTCAATCACCTAAGTGGGATCCCAAAAGCAAGTACCTCACTGTTCCTGAGAACAAAATCTGCACACACTGTGGCAAGACTGGCCATTACAAAAATGAATGTAATGCAAAAGAAAAGGCCAGTCAAAAGAACAAAGCTTTTGTTCAAGAAAAAAATAGGCTGCCTGGGTGGGCTAGAAGGAATCTGATTTATCCCTTTGCCTATAGAAAGGGACCCAAACTAGTTTGGGTTCCTAAGACTAACCCCTGATTTCTTTTTGCAGGTCCAAGTGAAGGGAAGTAGCCAAATATGGTACATGGATAGTGGCTGCTCAAAACATATGACTGGAAGCAAAAACTAGTTCCTTTCACTTGAGGACCTACAGGGAGGTAATGTCTCCTTTGGAAATGGGAAGAAAGGTGAGATTATTGGAGTTGGAAAGGTAGGTAAGACAGACTCTCACTCTATTGAGAATGTCTACTTGATAGATGGCTTGAAATACAGCCTGATCAGTGTGTCACAACTGTGTGACAGAGGTAACCTTGTAGCGTTCATCTCTACAAAATGCTTTGTGATTAACCTTACCACTGACAAGATTGTTTTGCAGGAAAAAAGAGTTAACAATATTTACATTGTAGATTTGCCTACTCTCTCAGAAAATGAACTAACCTGCCTAAGTGTGCTATGTTGCGACCAAAAACACTCACGCAAGTGCACATGATCGTCAAGTAATAGAGTAGTGAGTAGAGTATCGTTCCCACGAAGACTTATGATTAATTGTTGACTGATTCAAACTCAATTACTTTATTTATCCTAAGAGGTT